GCCCCGATAATAGAGTTTCGTTCACTTTTAATATTAGGACGTTTTATTAGCCTAACTTAATTAACTAATTATGTAAGCAAATCATATTTCTAATTGTCGTATCGAAAAGAACCTTTGTATGAATATATATGTAGTATATATAATTTGGCAAATAGTTCACAACTCGAGTTTCTTATGTTTTCACGAGTCCAACAGGTTGGTCGTAACGATGATCTGATGATGAAGCCAGGAGGTGAACAGAGGCAATCTTTTTAGCTTGTTTTCTTAGAGCCATTCTTAGTAAACTATTATTTTATTACCCTAGGTGAATGAGATAATTATATAAACATTTGAACAGCGGCTAGATTTATGCTCTAAATATATACAATGTATAAATATGCTATCATTCATGAACTCTGCAGTACTGCAATGATATCAATCTTATGACTAACTAGTGACATTGTGTGGACTCTCGTATGGAAATCAGTACGGCCTTGGCAGGCCATAACGTATGCGATTAAATCTTACGTAATAAAATCTCGTTATAAAACAAAAATACAAGCACCGTTAGAATAGCAATAAAATGGTCACAAAACGTTTACGAAAACAAATCTTGTTTTTTAGTCATTCGCGGTATAATCTGTACTCATATAGAATAACAATTTCTTGGTAGTTTAATGTATTGAATTTTTAAATCAGAATGTCAGATCACAACAAAACTTTGACGCTCTTATACCAAATGTTTAAAGTAGGTACGTGACAAGCTTTAAGCTCGTTGAGCTTTTATATATAAGTCTTTAGTTTACACTTGAATTGGGCTTAAACTTTTCACCTTAGCTGACATTCACATCAAAATACTCTTCTTGCTCAAAGTAAATTTATTAAACTGAAATCAATATTAAAATTGATTAAAGCGCAAAATTAAATAAAAGAAAAAATAAGTCTACAAAAAGTCTTCCAAAGTCGGCGTTTCACTTTGTCATCTTAATAGCTGTTGGAAAATAATATAAGTCTACTTAACACGTCTCGACTAATATTGTAAAGTTTGTATAGTGCGAAGAACGGAACAGGAAGCCTCTTCTCGCTTCAATGGTTACAGAAAACGAACAAACAACATGTAATGAGAGTTTTATTCAAGCTTTTTGTACGGCCCTTTCGACCTTTGTGTTGGCTTTGTTGACATCTAAATTGGGTTACAATGAAAATTAAACTAAACAGCCGGCCGGCATACACTTTCCATAGAAACTACATTCATTTTAAAACCGTCGACAAAAACACACTATCTTAAAGTACATATTTGATAAAGACATATAGATAAGAGGGATGGACTTCGCTAGTTTTTTTTTCGTATTTATTATTTCGTATTGTTCGAGAGGCGGCTGGTGGTGCACGTTGCCAGTTTTTAGATCAATATAAGGGGGCCGACTACTGGCTTAGAGCCAACCATTAAAACACAGGCAAATTTAATAGTTGGCTCCCCGACGGAGTTTAAAAGTGAGTTACAAACGGTAAGCTTATTTATTAGTGGAAAAACAACAAGTCGGATAACGTAGGTGATGTGGAAGCACGCTATCTGCTTGAAACCAGAGCAGGTAGTGATAACGCACATGCTACCCGTGTTATGGACGATGCGTCTATCAGTGTGTTCGAAATTAATAAAGTGAACGACATTGACACACAAGTGGCGAGGGACAACAATAAAAACATCGTTACAGTCGAGTAACTAATTCCTGTTTGAAAAGCACGTGGAAGGAATAAACGTCATGAACTATTTTAGTTTTATAACCAATAAGGAACACTAAGGAACGTGACTATCGCTCTTAGCAGTAATTATAATATTTGTTGTCCCAGGAGACCCACATACCACACACGGTAGCCTCCGAGAAACTGTATTGTTCTAAGAATATTTTGTTTCATCAATATTATCACCACCTTAATATATGTACGAGTATATCCATTGTTTTGATACGACGATTAAGAGCGCGCTACGTGTTGTAAAGCAGGAGATGACAGTTGAGGAAATGGTCATTTTGGAGTCGTCCGGCTCTAAATTGACGGTGTTTTGTTCCTACTCTTCACGTCATAAATCACTCTGCGAAACAATCTACTTACCTAGAATATACCTACATAATTATTATGCATATTATGCTAAGTACAATAATTGTGTAGGTATTTATGTTGTATGGTATTCGAGTTTGGTAACATACAGTCTGGGATTTCTTTTGTTTTAATATTCATTTAAACAAAAATAACAAATGCATTCCACATCAATCGTAAATGCATTTGTACGCATTCCAGCCAATTGAACTGAGAACGTGTTCAGGAGGAAGTGAGACGTATGGAACTGACAGCGGACGCAATGCAAATCTGTGGCGTGCCGGCGACATCCATTTATCGTTTTGAGCACGTCAGCCCGGTAAGATACATATCAAACAGATAAAAGACCCTGTTACTAAGTATGAGAGCTCAATTTAGATTTTGATAAGAATAGTCAGGGAGTAATACTAGGGTCGAAGAGAAATAGTTCTTAACAGAAAGAGGTAGAGTATACAATCAATTCTAATGTGGGGACAAGTAATCGAGATATAAACCGGAGAGACTGGTAGAGCAATTTGCCTATTGTCGAGTTCAATTATCGCCCCCCGCACTCATTACTGAATTAAGGCGAGAGCAACTGTAAATTTTGTGACGCCTCTGTACTAGAATTGAGAGTACTTTATGTAACCGGTTGTTACCTGACCTCATTGAATCCTATGAAAAGAACAACTCCGAAAATATATTACACATAAAAAGTATTTCGGCACACGCTGAATCGCACACGAATGCCTTTTCGTATATTTAGAAGAAAGTTAAATTGTCAGACGTCAGCTGACGACTAGAAGAGCGGTTTTGATGAATGTGGACATAGTGAACGCGGATTTGGTTACGTTAAAAAATTGGTTGAAATCAAAACTTAATATCATAGAACCTTAAGTCTGGCAAGTTACAATCCTTTATTTTCTAACAAAAAGTTTAAGATCATTGATACTACATTTATTAACTGAATATTTTACCGTTATGTCATTTCTTGTGTAAATACTTGTCTATTGCACGGGACCTTAATTTCATAGCTCTACTCTCTACTTTCAATAGTCCTAATTAAGAAACGCTAGAAATTTTCTATGCACACCATTACTGCTGTGTGTTTGCCAGGTTATTCTATTTTTAAAGTGATAAAGAAGAAGGTCTTGACGGAGGCACTACTGTGCCTCTATTATTTGTTTTCCTATTGCTTATGTACCAAGTAAATCATAAGACAATAGTGGTAGAGTCGGAATATACTGATAAAAATCGGATTACTAATACACAGATCGTTGATCGATTTTCGCCGTAAAACAAATACTAGTTTCAATCATTTAAATTTTAAATTACTTCATTAATCCTTCAATCGATTCAACGTTTATATAACGGCACTTTTGACATGAATATTTAATAAAGTTGTGACAATCTATAAAGCTAAGTATTAATAATTTTAGCGACGAAGTAATAAATTCAACAAGCAAATGTTATTGGCTATTAAAAATTGATTAATAAAATGCGTTCACGTAGAACGTATGAAAATAAATAGATCAGAAAATAATACGTCTTTTATTAAACGATCTTATTCAATTAAACCTGCATATACTTTATAAGGTAAACATCAGACGTTTATTGTTTAAAATATGTTTTGTAAGAAATCATTATCAACATAGGTCTAACACAATCTACAAAAGATTATTTATACGGCGTCCACGGTGGACAAATAATCATTATGTTTTTAACTATAAAAAAGTAACGAAGGCCCTTGTTGCCCGTAAGGCGAAGGCCTAGAGCTGAATAAGAGTTTATTATTCCTGCAAAAGGGGTAACTTTTAAAATATTATAGTTTCGTGTAAGTTCAGCTCTTGTTAACCAAGTAAGCCTAAATAGATAGCCTGAATTTACAACCAAGACGTAGCCTGCGTTAGCCCAATTAACTCCTAAACGAAATTCAATTATTCCTTTTAACTAAAAAAATAAACAACATTATGTAAGTAATATCTGTCTTCTTTTGGTGTGCTTTACTAGCTCTAAATCAGATGATTTAGAACTAAAATTTAGACCACAATCATGATTTTAATACAATGAAATATCTCTTATGTTTTTTTCTTCCTGCATTTTTTGATGATCCATAATCTCTCCGAGTTTCTCACAATAGCTATTCAAAATAAGTACATACTGATATAGAAGAGGAGACTTCTTATAAAGTAGCCATGTTGAAAGTTAAGCGTTAATGAAGATTCATTTACGCTTATCATATCAATGAATGTTTAAGCTTTGCTATAGTTAAACCGCCGTAAGCTTGGCCCTCCTGATGGTTTGGGGGACGCGGGGCGGGGATGCATTCAACCAATTAGCTAGTGCGTCGCTGTCCGCGTCCGGTTCTACTGTTAATATTTATTATTTTACTTAATTTTTAAATTGTATCTGAATATAATTTACATGATGAAGATAATGTGATTTTATTAAAATTATTTTACAGTATTCAACTTTACAATTAATCATAAAAACTTACAATACACTGACATTATAATACATGGAAATAAATTCGATTTTTATTAGATCGTGTGTAGATTAAATCTCAAACAAATAAATCTGAAGATATCGAGTTAGTACATCGTGTCATGTATAGCCGAGCGCATCACCCGCCCCGCGTCCCGCAAACCATCAGGAGGGCCAAGCTTACGGCGGTTTAACTATAATAGTGTAGCATTTTTTTTGTATGATGTTACGACTGAATTTAAACACGTAAAATCAGAGTTTATATACTCGTACAAAGTTATTGTATGATATAAATGATTTCATCACGTGATAGTAAGTGACTATTGCCGCCCACTGCAACTCAAGAGTCATAAGTGCGTGGCCAGGTCTTTGTTTACCCTCTTTTCTTTGAAGTACGTAATTATGCAGGCCACAATTTGTTCCGCAAATTGTGTGAAAATATATATTTATCGATCACTTACCAGGCATGAAGTGCAGCAACGCAGCAGTGATGGGGTAAAGGCTGGGACTATATGTGATGTCCGGGCAAGCGTATCCAAGTACGGAGACCACCCGATCAGCCACCGCCCGCCCTTTGCGAGTCAGATGGTAGCCGAGACAGTGTGTCGCCTCCACAAAGGGCGGCAGCATGATCGGCTTGTCCGGCAACTCCACTGTGCCGAACACCTGAGAAAGAAGAAAGACTTTTAAAAAATGATGTTCTTAACCCTTAAACATTTATACAAATGTGCAATTAACCTATTAATACCAGTGAAAGAGCGAGATCCTATTTAAATATGTGTCTAAAACTGTCAATCCTGGTTTTCTCAATCGGGTCAACTTGAACATTGTGTTTGTTGCGAAACTCATTTATTTATGTAAAGTAACTATCACTTTAGATAAATAGAAAAATCCACTGAAAAAAGGATTACGAATACTCAGTTTGTATAGAATCAAACAAAATTTGGTTATTTGAGAAATTGAATAAACAGTTCATAACTATCAATTTTCATGTTTAGTTACCCCAAAGGGTTTGTCCCTTAATACCATAAAAGAGACAGCAACAGTCAATGAAGGAGGCAAAAAAATACTGTTTATCATATTCTTGTTATTTACTTACAAAATAATAAAAATGATTGATTTTTCATTCTAGTAAAGGCTAGAGATGAATAATCAATCGCAAATAAATATGTTTGATAATTTACAATGACGGATCGATGTATTGTGTGTATTTTTACTTTATAATCTACGTCTTTGTATTTCAAACAAAACAATCTCCTATCGACAATTTGGTACACAATTGTGACGTAGTAAGTAACAAAGTAGAACCTTCGTGAGGAAATAACCAGAAATCTAAACGCATTTACAGTCTAAATTTTATACGCAAATAAAAATATGAAGTACGTACTAAATGGCGGCAAATATTGTTAACACATTTTCACCAATGGTAAAATACAATTAGTAGGGTCTAGATCGTGTCCCACGATTCAAACGATTAATAATAACAAACTATAAACTAAATAAAAAAAATATTCGCAAATTGGTGTGTTGTATTTGTTATCCAATCTGTTTGACATGGACAGCGGAGGCGTGATTATCCACTTTGTGGCAAGGACAAGATGGGGCACAAATTATATACCGCGTTTGATAGAATGCAGTATCGTGTCTGACATGTACGTATTAATTTAATAATTTCGAAAAAAAGAAGCTTTAGATTTGAATGTATTGGTAGAAATATATCTAAAAAAACGATAAATCAAGATAAAATTGTTTAAACTAAATTTTCCAAAACTAACTTTGAAATTAAAATGTAATATTGAATTTGAACACTTATTAATTTATGTACAGGCGTTTAGAATACTGATTTTAATATGGTATAATACAAGTACATACCTACCTTGCCAAAAAAGTGAAATATATTAATAAAATTAAATGTTGATGCTAATTTAAGAACTTTCCAGCTTAGTTCTTCTAAAACCACAAAAGCTTTTCCTTTTAATTTTATGTGGAGCAAATTGTAATTAAATTTTGAGACGGAATTCGAATAATAATTTGCTGAAAACTTTTGTACTCATTTAGGCAAATTACATAAGGAATTTCAAAGGACAGTACTACTGGGAAAAGTAATTAAGAAGTCCGCAAAACGACTAATTTAATCTTAATTTTGTTGGGTTAAGATTCCAAAAAGACAATGAACGCATTGTGCTGGCCATCTGACATGATTGATGGATGTTACAAAGCGTTGTCGGATTAGTGACCGAAAATTAACAATCATAGCGTCTAGTCTGAAAATGAGAAGTCTGAATAAGTCTATAATAGTATTTGAAAGTAATATGACCTGTGAAAATTTGTTCCAGATCCACACAACTCTAGAAGTTGGTATAATAAAGGCGGAATATTTTCGACTGTTAAATATGCGCCTAAATAATGTCTACTCTCTTAAACACGAACTTTGTTTTTTCTAATAATCTACTGCGTTATAATACCATCAGATTCTTCAGATGACCTATGATATAATTACAACGAATCAATTAAATTTTCTACACAATCAATGTTAATAATTTTTTTACATACCATTATGTAAAAATGTCTTCATCAGCGCTATAATACCCATGTCCCATAGCCTAACTGACTGGTTAATTAAAAACAACAATATGCGACACTGTTATCAGGATTGTCCAAACACTCTAGAATCAATATTTTTGTCACACCAGATAATAATACTACCATAATTTTGTGGGCGATTTCGTCAAAAGTAGTATTAAAGAAAAGATTAATTCCATTAGAATGGGCAGAATAGACGCTTAAGGGCAATCGTTATGAAGTGACAAAATTTCGTTCCAATGACGCAGCAATCTGACGATTTGACTGGTATATAAAACTCTTTTTAAGCTATTTTGTCACTTAGTAAGAATTGCCTTTCAAGCTTCGATATATTTCATAAAATAGAAAACTGTAAGCATGGTATAATTTTTTTTATGGAAGTGAAGGAAGACGTGCAGGCGAGTCACCTGATGGAAAGTGACTACCGCCGCCCATGAACGCTTGAAACTCAGGAGTAACGAACGCGTTGCCGGTCTTTTAAATTTACTAATGTACTTTTAAATTAAATTCCTCCAAACAACAATGAATACGTAGAAATAGTATACCGTTCCTTCATAAACTATTCGGAATAAAACTAAAGATAGTGTGTCTGTTTAAGGTGTACAAGATAAAATAAATGAAGCACCTCAGTTCGCTGAACGATATAATACAGTCATAAATCTATGGTAAGATAACGAAGAAAAAAGTAGGGCTGAAACATTACGTAAATTTCATGAAGCCAACGAACCCGGTGTTTGTAAATCGGACGCGCACGACCGATAAAATAAATACAGCCAATAAACATTAGTCACGTACACAACAGCCGGGCCTGGCAGTGTGACACCGACTGACCAAAATAATTTAATTTTAGATATCAACAAAGTCCGGCCAACCAAATACTTGTGCATAATATACTTACGTTTTAAAAATAATTTAGCTCTAGAATACCAAGATAATGTCAGAGCAATAGTGTGACAAATTCGCAGTCATTAGAAAAATGGGATTATTTTATTTTAATAATAATAAAAAAAAAAATTTTTCTCACCACAGGTCATTTACAAGATAAATTTGACTTTCACACATCACTAGATGATTGTGTAAGACTGGTGCCTAAACTAAGTGACAGCCTGTATTTCAGGGCACCAGGAATCCAGATTTACAGGTTTTCTTGCTATTTATTTTTATTTTACAATAAAGAGCAGATTGTGTTGAAATCAATTTTATAGGTGATGTCGATGTCTGGGTTAGTTATTAGGATTAGTGTATTACGGATTTCGTATGAGATATCATCTTGGAATAAAAACTGTATTCAAACTTATAAAAGACTAGCTGTACCCTGTCACGCCTCGCTGGGTCACATTATGGTTGCATTCATGAGAAATGAGAAACAAACTGAGATGAGAACAATCTTTGAAGCGGATTGTATATCGTGTAAAATTTGAGCTAAATCGATTTTTGAGTTTTAAAGCGAGCACAAACCAATGATGTTACCCTTGTGTATATTTAAATCAAGCGGGAAACGACCTTCCGCATTAGTGTTGCGACAAACGTGATAAAGACCCTCCATTGGGTCCTAAACTACGTTATGATAAAATAATTTGATAAAAATGATGAAACCAAAAAGTTTTTAAACTGATTCTACATAGACAATATTTTTTTCTCAATACAACAACGGCGACGTTTCGAATCATGTAACACTGAAATGTTACTTCCTAAAACATCAAAAAGATGAGATGTGAATACCAATTAGTCAATAACTACCATTTTGTTTAGTTTCTTACAAAAAGAAATCCATATAATTCTTCACATTCAAATTCCTTTAAGTATTTTCATTAATATTTTACTAAGAAATTATAATACGTCCACGACGTATTGTCGTTGACACTGCATGACTTTTAATATTTCTTTTGATTTAAATATAAATATATACGGGTAGTAAATATAAATATGGGTCACCCTTATCATTCAGGGGTATGAAAAATTGATATTGGCCGATTCTCAGACCTACCCGATAGGCACACAAAATTTAATAAAAATCGGTCCAGCCGTCTCGGAGGAGTTTGGTAACAAACACCGCGACACGAGAATTTTATATATTAGATATAAAAATATAGTTATAGGTCAATGTATTAGAAAAAAAAAGACGTGTGGCACTCGGGGACTGCCGCGGTAAAGCTATTGCATAGCATTTTGTATCAACTTTTGCAATTATAATTATTTATTTATTTTATTTATGCAGTATTTCTTTTTCTTTAATATTAATTCAAGTTACACTTTTTGAGCGTGGTGACCGATAAGAAAACAATTTTTTTTCTTTAATTAAATAAAAATATTGAAGCATATATTACAATTTGTTTTTAAATAAATAAATAAAAAATATTATTATTAAATCAAATTACATATCCATGTTAGATTTTTCTGCATTATGTTGACGAAATTTCCTTTGACGTTCAGCATTTGATTTTGGTACTGTTTTTTGTTTTGTTTTTAGCCTGAGGTTTTTTTTCGTTACGGAATTTCTGGATTCGGTCCACGCGCTCAAGGCCCTCGATAGAAGCTATGCAATAGCTTAAAAATGTAATTCAAACAAAAGGAAAGGTGCAGCGCAGCATTTAGCTGTAAGTACGGGAATAGAACAGTTCCCGAAACGTTACCCAAAATTATACGTAACTATCTCTGTGCGTTGAAAATAATTTAAAAAAACTAGATTAGGTATAGAATAGGTTTTTATTCCGAATCTATGCTTCTTTTTTTAAATCTTTATGTTAGAGCTTCGCGCAAAACTAAATGACACGTAAAAAGCATTTGATAACTTTTTTAGTTTTTAAATTAACAAGTTTCATTGAAATCTGTCTGCTTGATCTCCGTTTCATTAGCCACGCCATTTATCACGAAGCTCAAGTTAAATTGTTATTTATAGTTCGGAAAGTGAGCGCCGATGTCACGTTGCAAGGAAGAACTGAGATATATGTTCGGACTAGAGAAATATTATACAACAGCCTACATTGCTTTTGCGTTGCTACTGTGTTGAGATTTAGCACACTTTACCATGATAGCGAAACCGCGGTCAAAGCTACGACCATGGCCACGTTTTAAGGCTAAAA